CAGGTGTGGAGGGGCTGGTGCTGACGGGAGGTCCCTCTGCAGCTGGGGTGGTGGTTCCTCTGCCTCTTCTCGGACGGGGTAACTTTGGTGTTTTCTCCTGCGAAGGAGTTAGAAATGGATTAATTCATAAAAGGGACAAGAGCAGTCGCAGAAACCTGCAAGTTTTGTTGAGGTGTTGTGTGCAATGAAATCTGGGAGACAAGAGTGAAGTAGTGAGAAGGAGACGCTCTGGTTAAGAAACCTCTTGTATTAAGTTGTCTGCGAGAATTTCCAGGGGTATTACATACACTTGGGATTGCTTAAGAGGCTGCAGACACACTTGTCTCTGTTTATGCAAATACAGAGAAAGAGAAAAGAAAAACGCTTCCCCAGGCTACAATGTCACTTCTTCCCTAAAATTAAAGATTGGGTAGAGATTTCGAAAAATGCTCTCAACTGTTTTCAACACCAGAAGAAAAATCTCTTGCTGCAAACATGTGGAGAGCTGCCCTCATTTGTGATGAATGTGCTTTGCCTCTCAGGCAGTGAGGATGCTGTGGGAAAGACTTGCATCCATGATGAGTCCCAGTGAACTGGAGAGAGATGGTTTTGTTTAATGAAAAGTGGAAACACTGTCTTAAAGTTCACTGCGTAATTATTAGCACAGCTGTGCAGTTTGTCTCTGTGTAAGTATTGTAAGTTTTTCCCTTGGTTTTCCTTAGTTTTAGCCATGATTACCATTTTCATTAGTGCACAGTTATTTGTGTTACAACCTGTATAGCATCTGAAATGTTCTTAAAAGAAAAAGCTTGGTAAAATCAACCAGTATTAAAGCAGACGATGTTGAGGTGCATTTCATTGTGTTCATTTCAGAGAGTATAGCTATTGGGAAGCGAGCTCTACAATAGCTTTCTGCTAGTTTTGGAGGGGATTATCTGCATTGTAAGATTTGAATTTAGGCTTTAGTGCTGCAGAACCTGTGATAAAGTGTGTGTCCTTAAAGAGGGAACTGCAGAACTCGCATCAGTCTTCAACTGGAGACGTGCAGTGTGAGGTCAAAGGTCTGATTCTTGACTTAAAGCAGTGCCTTTCAGTTGGCACCCTGGGCCGTGGTTACTCGACAGCTGTGTTTATCTTTCATCTTGATTTGTTCTCCCCTCACCTGAAGGTTCATGTGCTACATTTCCAGCCACTGAACATCTCCACCTACAGACTTGCAACTAATATAAGCTTAAGTTTATTTTTCTTTACTTTGAATTCCTTTGGAAGTTGCCAACTACTTTCACTTCCAACAAGCTTGTTGTCAGCAAAATACAATCTTTTTATTCTGCTGCAGTTTAGAGAGGTTTGTGGTTTATTTGATTTGCTGTAGGAGACCTGAAGCAGAGATCTTATCAACACAGCTAAACAACCCAAGGCAGGCAGTGCAGTATGACAGATAATTTGTGTGTAAGTGAACCAGGGAAAACAGCTCCTTAAATCAGGAAGTCTCTGCTCATGTATGAAGAGATCGCCAGGCTGTTCCATGGTTTTGATTCCCCTTCACTGAGAAATCCCTGCTTAAGTTTTAATGTTAAAGGTGATGCACAGGTTCTCATAAATTGAAGTAGCCATCTGACCCATGCGAAGACAATATACTACAGCTTCAAACTATCTTTTATGCAGTAACATTTGTGTTTAGTTAATATAGGCAGCCTGTCTCCTTTGAGGTTCTGTCTCTATGGTCTCAGGAGCCCAATTAGCTCTACCTTAAAACTGCAGCACTTACTTGGCCATGGAAGCAAATGTTAAAGCAGCTGAATATAAATCTCATTACTGTAGATGCACACTTTGTACCATATAGCAAGGAATCCCTAAAGGTCACCTCTCTACTTGCTAAGAGAGTTATCTCTCATAATGAGAACTGCAGTCTTGATGAGAAAAAGATGTGTAATATGATTTCAGTTAACTGGCATTAGCTCTGTTGGCAGTTTGGTAGGAGGAGGCCAGAACAGAGCAGACCCTTCCCTGGCATGGCAGGTGCAGTTAAGCTTTCCTGCTAGTTTTTTATTAGTATTTTTGAGGGAGGGCAAGAAGACGGGGGTTGTGTTCTAATTTAACATTGCTTGTTTGTAAAATTACAAGGTGGAAGCTGAAAACTAGAAAGCTGAGCTGAAAAAATAAGAAAACAGTCTCAAGACGGATTTTCTACAGCTGAAGTTGTACTAGATAGTGGGATATCCCCCGAGGAAATAGATGTTTTTCTCTTTAAAACCAGTAAGAAAGCATAGTGATACTCTGCTAGGGCACAGATTTGCTCTGCCTGAAGTATGGGTTGTGTGGACAGGTAGATGTTAATGCTTCAATAGATTGTGAGTGCTTAGTTTCTAACCTGCTTCCTGGTAAAAGTTATTGAAAGTCTCCCAGAGGCACACCACGTTAATTTCTATTGTTACTGAACCAAAGAGCTTAAGCTCCATTGCTAGCAAAGAGCTGTTGCTGCAGATCCCACTCTATTATACATTTCTTTTGTTGTTGTAATGATCTATGCAGAGTCATTACAAAAGCTTGGTGGTTTAAACCACTGAAACTAGTACAGTGAGGTGAATATACTTCACCTACAAAATGTCATGTTTCCTGAATGTTTGGCTTTTGTAGTAATTGTACAATGAAAACAGGGTTTGCACTACTGACCTAACAGCACATACTCCACAGTAAAATTAGAGGTAGCTTTCCAGAATGGCCTTGTGTTCTGATGTAATACAATATATGTTGTTCTCATGCAGATTACCTCGATAATGGCAATAATAAAATGGCAATCCAGCAAGCGGATAAACTGCTCAAAAAGCACAAGGATCTTCACTGTGCAAAGGTAAGTGTGACTGGAATGGCCTTGGTTGGTGAGCGTACCTCTGAGACTTGGAGATTCACTGTGCCTTCCTAGCAGTGTCCATGATCTTCCAGGGCTCAAGTTGTTTTCTGAACTGTCTGAAACATCTCAGGCTCTTCTAATTCACACAATATCATGTTTGCCTGAAAACTTGTACAGATCCTCTTGAAGAGGTGCCTATAATTGTCTAGCTTCCTGTCATAGCCACTGCAAGCAGCCTTGGTACCTGGCCTGTGCCTTATAATGCCTCTTTTAGACCTAAGGTTGATGTACCCATCTGTGGTGTTTGAATCCAAAACATTTACTTGGGCCATGTAGTCCTTATTAAAACATAACAAGGCAATTTTGGAGACATTTGATGTTAAGCTTCTTGTTCACTGTTCTCCTTGCTGTGCCCCTTTTGAAGGGAAAGGACTTATGTTCCTTGGTTTTCTGAAGATGACTGTCTTTCTACTTCTCTCTTTTCCCTGTGGGTTTACCTCTAAAGTTCTTAGTTTCTATATTTCGAAAGCTTCCTGAGCTGAAGTGCTTGTCATTGACCTCGATCTCATTTATATCACTTCTCTCTGGCCAGTTTTTGAAAGAAAAAAAATCAAAATAGGAAGGATTGGTTAGTCTTGAGTCTGCAGGTAGGGAAAACTAATTGATAGCTGATGCATGTTTGAGAGCAACCTGCATGTTTGTCAAGAAATGCAAAGCCATGGCATTTGATGCAGCTTGTGTCTGGAAGTTTCCTTCTACAGTCATGTGGATTAGAAACTTAACAAAACCTGAAGTTCCATACAAGTGGTTGGGCAAAGCATCTCCTAGCCAGGGATGAGAGGGCTTTCACTGGTGCCTGCTAACTGTGTTTAACAGCTGCCTCTGTGTTGTGTCAATAGGTTCTAAAGGCAATTGGCTTGCAGAGAACTGGCAAGCAAGATGAAGCGTATGCTCTGGCACAAGAAGTAGCAGCACTTGAACCCACAGATGATAATTCCTTGCAAGCACTAACTATTCTTTACCGGGAAATGCACAGACGTAAGCTTTTTCCTTTGCCTCTAAAAAACTATCATTATTTATGTTCTTCCAGAAGTGCATGTGACCCACAGTTTCATAGGAGACATGCAAAGTCCATGGATCACATATAGGTTTGTTATTAAGAGACTCAGCGAATGTAAGTGACACCTGCTTTAAGGTGCTTTTAAGGCTCTGGTGGTCACTGTAAAGTGAAGAACCTTGTTTGGGCTTCTCTCCTTAACATTATTGTGTACACAGTTCCTAAATGAGTGGCATGATAACAGTTGTCCGTCGTGATCAACTGATAAGTTCACTTTTTAATGAAACTACTGGAATTTGTTGTCAGTATGTGTTGTAGAGGTGACAAATTACAGTCTGTGATTTGGAGTGTGCTTAGTGCTGTGAGAAGTTTAGGCCTCAAGGAGCTGTGTGACAAACAAGGGAAATCGTGGCCTCTTGATTTGACCACAGCAACTTTTTCAGTTACTGCTCTTTGTGGTGATAAGGTATGTTTGAGTGACAGTAGAATTGTGTGTGAATTTCTGGGAGAAAACAGACCTCACATGCTGCTTATCTACAGCCCTAAGGAAGAGTTGTAGTTTTTGGCAGCTTTTTGTGGTTCTTGGTGGTAGTGGCAACGTTTACTGTTGAATTGCTGGAGCACTGATGGTGTGAAACAACTTCTGTAGAAAAGGATATTTGTTATCAGTCTGCAATACTAGAATTAATTATGCTCTCCTAGTTTATTTCCTTGTGTGTGTGTATGTATATGTACAATGTATAATTTCTTGAGTAACAGGAAACTTTTGTGCATATGTGTGACTTCAACATAAGTAAACCCTTGAAAATGTCAAAAGCCTTTCTGTGGTTCTAAACAACTTGCAGAGCATGGAGCTCAGGTTTCTAACTTAGGTTTGTAACTCAGAAAGGAAATGGTGGTTTTGGGGGACTTCCACTTTTGGTCCTGCAGGAAAACTATAATTAGATGTCTTATGTCTGTGTGTTAAGTATATACAAACTACGTGAAAGACAAATTAAATTTAGTTTTCTGATACTACACTGAGATATGATTGTATGTGTAAGGAAAAAAATCTGGAAAGATGAAAATGTAAGACAGTTCTGCATATTACAATATCATTAACTGCTTGAAAGAGTCCAGCGCAGAGCTACAAAGATGATTAAGGGAGTGGAACATCTCCCTTATGAGGAAAGGCTAAGAGAGCTAGGTCTCTTTAGCTTGGAGAAAAGGAGACTGAGGGGTGACCTCATCAATGTTTACAAATATGTAAGGGGTGAGTGTCAGGGAGATGGAGTTAGGCTTTTCTCACTGATGACCAGTGATAGGACAAGGGGTAATGGTTGCAAATTGGAGCATAGGAGGTTCAAGGTGAATATCTGAAAAAAAATTTTTACTGTAAGAGTGACAGAGCCCTGGGCCAGGCTGCCCAGGGAGGTTGTGGAGTCTCCTTCACTGGAGACATTCAAAACCCACCTGGATGCGTTCCTGTGTGATGTACTCTAGATGACCCTGCTCTGGCAGGGGGAGTTAGATTAGATGATTGTCCTGGTTTGAGCCAGGATGAAGCCAATTTTTCTTTTTTACTGATTTTTTTTTCCTTCGGTAAGCTTTCTTGTAGCTAGCAAACATTCCACTGTCTTATCAGCCTAGCAGAACACACTGTTGCTCAAACCAGGACAATGATCTTTCGAGGTCCCTTCCAACCCCTAGGATTCTATGATTCTATGATAAGTAGTCATGATAGATCTGTTACTAAAAAGTATGGTGTGAAGTACTTTACTCATTAAGAGTACTAAAATAGGCAATTCGGAAACAGCAGGATATAACATAAGTAAACCTGCGATAGTAGCAACTAATTTGTTTTTAAGCTCTGAAAATGGTCTGTGTTTTGATCCGTAACACACATGGAATAGTCAGTCTGCCAAGAGTAGAACTCTTCAATTCAATGCTCCAAAATAGATCAATTTCCCTAAGAAAAAGACTTTAGTGCTTTTGAACAGTCAGTTGTTGCTATTTACTCTAAATTTGAAGTTTGTGAGGATTTTAAATAATTTTCCTCCATTGACTACTGTTAGTAGTGCTTGGAGTCTTGGGGGAGAGAGTGCCATTTCTGTTGTTGATGAGTGTGATTACTGTTCAGAGTGTCATTGATGCTGTCTTTAGGTAGCTGTGCTTTCAGATTATTCCCAAATTTGTCTTAACTCAACCATCTGGTTTTGGTTTAGCGGAACTGGTAACTAAACTTTACGAGGCAGCTGTAAAGAAGGTTCCCAACAGTGAAGAGTACCACTCTCATCTCTTCATGGCCTATGCCAGGGTTGGAGAATACAAGAAGATGCAACAGGTATATTCAACAGTTTGTGTTCTGGTCATGTAAAGTGTCTCTTTTTATATGTATAATTGTTAGTGCCTTTTCATATTGTATGTAATCTTCCAGAAAGCTAAGCTGGGCTAATGCAGAACTAACTGTAGGTTATTTTTTACAGAAATGCTGAAAAGGAGGTGGATTATGTGAAGACAGATGTTTTCGTTACATGGGATAGGACAGCTGAGCATTTTGTGTGCATCTCTGGTCTGATAGAATATGTTGGTTATTTTAGGAAGTTTTTATCAATCTGCCTTGAACACTATGGTGGTTATATGTGAGGCATTGTATCATAAAACTTTGGAATAGATAAAAGAAGATCTAGCAAAATCTTCTGATCCAAGTTTTCAGACTATTTACTCTTCAGTTTGCTGTTATCTTTGAGTAATCTTGCCCATACTCTTATCTCTGGAATCTAACTTATAACTAGGCTTGTATTGGTTGTAATTCAGTGAAGAAAAACTAAAAAGCACTTCTTTTGAGAACCTCTTACTTTGTAGTTGTCAGAACGGTGTCAGGCTGGTTAGTTTTGTTTTCATCCCTTCTAAATTAGGTGCCTGGAAAATGCCTATAAATGGAAGATTCTTTTAAAAGCAGGCATGCTCACTCATTGATATAAAAAGGCACAGAGAGCCAAGTAAATGAGTCCTAAACTCCCTCTCATTCCCACTGTGCTAAGGTGACTTGAATATTTGTACAAGCTTCATTTAAATAACTGAAAGAATATATTGAGCAGAAGGATTGTTCTCCATTGTAGCCCAACTTTTATGCTGGGTTCAGGGTGTAGGTACAGGCTAAGTTATGAATGCACATGAAATTACAAGCCTTGTATGATAATGTAAACTTCAGGGATGACTGTCTGTTAATTGTACTCCTGTCCACAACGATGAGTGGGAAAAATGCCAGACTTGTACATACTTAACATTTATCTGCTCTTTTGTATGTTTAAAATGTCATAAAACATGTATCTAGTTATATTATCCAGAGATTGTCAGAGAGTGGGCTGTTCCATGTTTCCCTGTGCTTTGACATAAGGTGTTGGAAATGCAAAGAGCAAGTGGATACAGATTGGTTGGAAAGTGAAAATAAAGCTCAGCATTCTGGGTTGTTGCAGCTGAAAGAACTGGAAAATGAAACTTGAGACTGCAGTCAGGAAATCAGCACAAAAGTCCCTCTGTGGGAGTAGACTGGTTTATATGTAGTTTCTCAAAATTAAGATGAGATTTTGTAAGGATAAAAGTGCAGTCCATTATATGTAGACTTTGGAAATCTGTGAATAAGTGTTCCTGTGTTAAGCTAGAGAACCTTGATACTTGAGCTCTGCTTTGATACAGCCAAGCTTTCAGCTTGACGGTTGCTTAAGGGCTGCATTGCACGTATAGGTGACCTCAGGTTCCAGATATCTGAGCATGTGTATGGATGAGATGAGTGTTGAAGGGCAGCTCTGACACAAGGGAGGCAGGTGGTTCAGTGTGCCTTTTAGCATGGGCTGAGCATCCTTGTGAAAAGCAGCACTGCAAATATTCCCCTCACTCCTAAAGAATGGGTCTTCTGCTTCTTGATGTAGTTACCACTTCTAATTAAAGCTGTCATCCATTTAGGCAATTACAGACTTGCATGAAGTACTTATCTCTGAAACATTTTCACCCTCTGTTTTCTACTTTAGAGCATGTGTTAGGATGAAACAGTTCCTGGGTTGATAAAAATCCTCCCATCTAGTTGCTAATTCTGTGTTGTCTGCTGCCGTCATTGCAGCTCAGCCTGCGTTGTCTGTCATGGCAGCTCATAAGTAGACTGAGGAATGACGAAACTTTGTCTTATGTTTTTCAGGCTGGAATGGCACTTTATAAGATTGTACCCAAAAATCCTTACTATTTTTGGTCTGTGATGAGCCTAATTATGCAGGTGTGTATAGTGTTGCAAATGAGTTTGACTTGTGCTGCAGGTATAGTGCAAGCATAGAAATGTTCCAAGTTTAGAAGTATTTGAAGTTAAATGTCAACTGTTCTTCTGTGATGCTGGGAGAAGTACTGAGCCCTTCTTCAACAGCATCATTGATGTGATTCAGCATGAATGCTGTGGTATTTTTATAATGCAATTTACCTGGTTTGCCTTGCCACGGTAATACAACTTTAATTCTCTTTTCTGGTCTGTTTAGTTAGAGAGCTAATGAATAAATGCTCAGATATCTGCAGCTCCTGAGGCAGAACTGTTTCTCTCTAACTAGGTTATAAAGGCTCTAGGAGGAAATAAATGAGAGCTCTGGATGTTTGCAGAACTGCAGAAAGCCCGCAGGAGTAGACAGCAGATTCAGGCACTAATCAGACAACCTGACATAGCCAAGAAAAAATAAGCATTAATTCCATTCTCTAAAATACTGTGCCTTGGGAAACACAAATGTGTTTGTGCTACATGTTGTTGGATATTGTGTGCCCAGAAGTGTGATTCTCTGGACAATGTAATCAAGAGGGAGCTTTTCAGTATATAACTGGTTTTATTGTTGCCTAATAGAGGCAGAGCAGTTGCTCTCTGCAGGTGATAGATGGCAGCTCAGAATGTGTTGTTTCAGAGGGGTTGAAGCACCTGGGTTGTCTTTTTTTTTTTCTTCTAATATGAAAAAAGCAGTGGGTGGGACAAAACAAGAAGCTCATGAGCTATTGCATTAATTCTTTTCTTCCTTAGTCTATTTCAGCACAGGATGAAAACCTCTCAAAGACGATGTTTTTGCCACTAGCTGAGAGAATGGTGGAAAAAATGGTGAAAGAGGATAAGATTGAAGCTGAGGCTGAAGTAAGACTTGAAGATACTTTCAGTGTGATTTGAACTTTATTGAGACAAGAAATGCACTGTTAAAGGAAGCTGATAATTTTAGCAGTTTTCCAAGACAATAATCAGTAGTGTTCTGGAGTTAAATGTGAATGTAGCAGGACAGAATGAAAACCAAGAGCAGGGGGTTGAGAGGGATCGGGAAGAGTGTGGCCAAGGAAATTTTCTGGCCTTTGATTTGACTGATGAAGTACTTGGGTTTGTTCCCTGGGAGGCCCCAAGAGAAACTTCAGAACTGAGAATGGAAAAAAGACCTAAATTCCTCAATGCTCCACCCTCTGGGTTGCTAAAGATAGCTTTGCAGTCCTGGCTATCTCCTATTTCTGATGACAGTAACACAAGCCACTGTTTTTTGGCACACCTGTATATTGTTTTACTAGCAAATTTCATTGCAGTCTAATTTTTCTTTTAAGGTTGAACTGTACTACATGATTCTGGAACGTTTGGAGAAGTATAAGGAAGCCTTGGATGTCGTGAGAGGAAAACTAGGGGGTAACTTATTCTGTCCATTAATAATCACAGTTGTGTAGAGGACAAGCAGTTCTCCTTTGCTTCAGGTTTGTCCACTAGTTACCAAAAAAAAAAAGGAATGTAAGAAGCCTGACTCTTAGAATCAGTTTCAAATATTGATGCAAACTTTGGAGATGCTCTGGTGCAAACTGGCTTTGCCCACCTGCTTATACTATGAAGTATTATTCTGTAGTGAACTCACAGCAGGATGCCTAGTAGGAGAAAATGATAGCAGGTTAGTTTGTTGCAAGTGCCATCTTAAAACAAAAAGAAAAAGTCTTTCCTAATATTCTACGTTTTTGTGGACTCTTTCTGGAGATAAAAATGCACTTGCAGTGTTCAGGAATTGGGATATGAAGGTTTCTATAGCAAGTCTTTCTATCCTTCAAGTGCCTCTCTTCTGTTCTCTCACAGTTACTGTTTTGCATCCTTGGCTATAATAAGAAGCTTTGTGCAGAAAGTAGAGAAGGAAATGCATTAATTAAATCAACTTGCCCTTCTGTTTTTAATTTAGAGAAGCTGACAAGTGAGCTCCAAAGCCGTGAGAACAAGTGTATGGCGATGTACAAGAAGCTGTGTAGGTGGCCAGAGTGCAACGCACTGTCGAGAAGACTGCTGCTGAAAAAGTGAGATGGTATTTCTGCAGTACTGCTGAAAAACTGAAGGAAAATGCTGGGCTGGTTGTAAATTGCCTTGTTGAGTGGCTTTTGTAAATGGTGCTTAAAATAGAACATCAAGGGATCTCAAAGCATTTCCAAACTTTCACACTCCAAAGCCTGAGGACAAGAGCAGCAGAATGGAATGTTAAAGGGACATGGTGAAGGTCACAGGGAGCATCAGTGTCAGAACTGTAGTTGCTTATTGGTGAAGTTGGACTTTAGTGACACATTAATGTGATAGAATTTTGTTTACTTCCTTTTTTCTAAAGGCTGTGCTCAATGTCCAGCTCTTAACTTTTATGGTGGAAGAGGGAGAACTGCATTTACACTTAATTTTCTGGAACTTCATTTCTTTCACTTGGCCAGACTTCATCCTGGGAAATTAATGCTTTGAACAGATGCATCAGGAGAGAGTATTAGTGTGATCACATCTGCCTCTTGGAACTGTCCAGAGAGATTTGCTGTATGCTCTTTGTATTTAGCTAATCTTAAGTTAAATACAGAGGCTTGAAGATTAGAAGGTTCTGTCTGCATCCACTGTCCACAGGGACAGCAAAATGTTTCCTTTCTAAATAAGTTGTTCCTGATACTTATTTTTTGTTAAGTATATTTGCAGTGGGAAAAAAAGGAGAAAATAAGCATCTGCTTTACAGGACACTTGAACAGAATATTGACAACACGTAGAATTAATACAATTTTCAGCTTTGCCTCTTTGTATTTGGCATCTCCTGTTCTATACTCTTAAATTAATCTGAACCTGGGCAGTAGAAGCTTCTGCTTTAGCATTTTATGGGAATATTGGTGAGCTCTGATTGGAGTGCAAATGTTAAGAGGAGAATTTGTAGCTTGTCGATTCTGCATTGAAATTGTTTCCTTTAATACATTTAGGGAAGTTCAAGATGATAGCATTCTTAAGCTGTGAGACCTTTTCCAGGAGAAAATGTGTTTATTGCAGTTAATATGAATACATGCTATTCCTTAAATTCAGCAGTTTTAGAAGTGAGTTCCTGTTTTGGCAGTTCCCTAAACTTTGTTCTGTGCCCGATTTTTGTTTCAGCTCAGATGATTGGCAGTTTTATATCACTTACTTTGATTCAGTGTTTCAACTCATTGATGAATCCTGGACACCTCCAGCAGAAGAAGAGCAGTAAGTTCACAGTTTTGCTGTGGGTTTGTTTTTCCTTTGTGCTACAGCAAATTGTTTGCATTTATATATTCAGTGGGGCACTGTCTGTGTCTTTGGGAATCTTCTTGACATCAGACCCCAAATGATGTGTTGTCCCTACTTTATTTTGGAGGTTGGCAGTAGTTTATTAGAAACAGCTGTAGAAATAGTGGTTTGTACACTACAGAACTGTTCTAGTTTGTATTTTTCATGGTGTTTTAGTTAGAGAATCCATCATGCCAGACTGAGTATCCTGTGAGTATGCTGAGCATTTTATCAATGCCCTAGCAATGGGAAACATCTAAGAACCTTTTGCCTCTTTAATTGCACAGCTCTTTGGAAGGAGAGGTACATTATTCCATAGAGCAAGCTGTGAAATTTATAGAAGAGAGGATAACAGAAGAATCTAAGAGCTCACGGCCACTTCGAGGACCATATTTAGCTAAACTGGAGCTGATCAGACGTTTGCGACACAGAGGTTGCAATGATGAATATAAATTAGGTAAGAGCCCCTAACTGGATGATAAATTAATCTTCTGGAGAGAGCACAAACTTGGAACAAGTCCTTTGCTGCATCAATGTCTGTTGTGAAAACGTATGTGCTGTTGTCTGTATGTAAAGCATAAGAAGATGAGCCTTCAAGAAAGGCAGGTAGTTCCAGCTTGCTCCAGGGCTTGTAAAAGCAAGCATGGAGACTTTCAGAAGGAGCTGTGGGATCTAGGAGCACAGTCACTGACACTGTAATGAACTGTGTTCCTGATGTACTGCTTTTGAACAGAGTCCTGTGGGTATGCTGTAATCTGTGGATGTTTTCTTGTTTAGGTTTTTTGGAAGTAGTACCAGGTGTTGCTTTTTTTAAAACTTGCATTTAAAAATTGTGTTTAGGGAATCAGTTTAGGAGAGAATGTGATCAGAGCACCATTTGTGCTTCTTTCTAGTTCCTTTTGTGTTTCCATCCCAAAATAAGGTACTGTTAGATAAGCAGAGGCTGTGTATGCATGTCTGTTATGCAGAGCTCTTATCTGCCAAAGGAGCTTGAATGGAGGCTTTTTTATGTATCCTTGGTTGCCAAAGACTTTGAAGCTCTGTTAAAATCTGCAGTAGTTCAGCTATCTGTGTTCTAACTCTCTGTGTGATCTTAAAGAGAAAGAAAAAGCATTAACAAAGATTTCTCATAGTGATTTTACAGATTCAGCTTTTACTGGAGTGTATTAAAAAGATGAACTGGTCCTTTTTCTAGGTGATCCAGAAGAACTAATGTTCCAATACTTCAAAAAATTTGGGGACAAGCCCTGCTGTTTTACTGATCTCAGAGTATTTGTGGATCTCCTCCCATCCAGCCAGTACACAAAGGTAGGGGAAGATAAAGAAGTGGTGGCAGGAACTGCAGCACTTGTTTGCACTCTGATCCCATTATCATAAAATACTAAAAGATTGGAAACATCAAATTTTTACCTTCTGTTTGAAATTCAGAAAACTTTGCAGTGTAGAAAATATAATTAACATCTGAATATACACTGAGCAGTTTCATTCAGAGGTTGTTTTTTTTTCTGAAGGCTAAAAACTTAAGTTTGCTTCTTTAGATTCTCGGCCCCAGATGGAGTGTTCATTTGGCTTTATTAATTATAACTTTAAGATGTCAAGGTGTTTTGAGACAGTCTTAGTTAAATTATTGTATGGAAAATGACAACCCCGTAATGCTGATGAAAATGACAAGATACCAGCTCATATCTTGTAATGAAAAGCTCCCTAGGAATTGTAGTTCAACTGATAAGCTACCTAATTAGCTCATTTTTAAATGAGTGATCTCTCATCACTTTTGTTAGTAGATCACAGCTTACAAAATGGAGTAATGTGAAAACAGTAGAGACACCACCCTGTTCATTCAGTTGCTGTTTTCATTGCTATGCACTGTAACTTCTGTTCTCCAAAGACATCCTCCTCTTT